AGATATATTGCTGAATCTCTGAAAAATCGAGAACTCAGCAAGCGGTCTTCCGAAAAGTCCTGATTGCTTTCCAAAAAATCCGCGAGCGGGGTGCGAGAGATCAGCAATCTATTTTTCCGGTGCCCGCCTGCCCCCGGCGATTGTCTGAGTATGGTCTTTTCAGCATAAGAGAGAGATGCATGATAGTCATTTGTATATGCAAGGAAGATAGGAATAAAGTTAAAGGCTGGATAAGAAAGGAAAACATTAACAGAAATTCTTTGTGAGATAATGAGAATGTATATGAGAATATACTAATGAGATAGTACAAAACAAAAGAGAGCAATTGCAGCCCAGGAAGACAATTAAAGAAAGTAATGCACGAGTAATATTGTAATATTTTAAAAATACAGATGAGGCAACAATGAAACCAAAAGTGACGCAAGTATGAACTGCCAATCTAGCTTGCCAGCACATCTAATTTTTCTAGTGCGATCAACAGTGTCTCGAGAGGGCAACGATATGGCTTCCAGTTGGCAGCCGCAAAACAGCGTTACCGAACTCATAGCATTTATGCTGCCCGCTCACAGAAATCCTGCATTCGCATCCCATCGTTTCCGGGTCACTGCCTCGTCGCAGCCTTCTGGCTGCTTTTGTAGCAATGAATGCGCTCTGCAGCTATTTTCTGACTCACAAAAAATTATAGCTGCTCTCTAGTAGCCCGTCTCTGCCCGCTCACCGCCATTTTTGCAGTATCGTCGCCCGCTTATTGAAACTGCTATTTATCGCCGCCTCACCATAGCCTTTGATTGTCTGACCACATTTCATGAAAGTTTTTTGAATGCTAACGGTTTTTTTAAATGGGATTGAAAAATTTTGTTGGTTTTGAGCGATGCTTCTTGCTTGCCCTTTTCTTCATCGTTTTTCCAACCTCACCTGAATATAGAGCTAAAGAAACGAGACTCTTAGTGTGAATTATCACTAAATGACAAACTCGTCAATTCTGGTTACAAACGCCATTGAGACAAAAATTACCACGTAACGACAAAAAACACAAAGGCATACTGCATGAGCTTGAAACGGATTTGACGGTACCGCGCTCTGCAGCACCAGGCGTGCTCTCGTTCGAATTCGAATTCTCCACTAGGTGTCTACTGGGGGGAGGACGACTATATACCAGAAGAGTACGTCCGGTGGATAAATTTATCTACCGTCTAGTATGAATATGCAGATGACGTATACTGTCGATTTTATGTGACTATATACAGTGCGTTTTCGAAATTTGTGCCGTTTAGATTTTTGATAGAGCCCCATTAAGGCTATTCCTCTCAGGTACGGGAGCTTTTAGCCCAAAAAGAGCGTTTATTCACTTCTTGGCCAACCCTTTGACAAATTTTATGTATAAAAAAGTATGCAAGGATGTGGATTATCACTTGAAAATATTTTTGAGAACGTATGGATAAAAGTTGGCTTTGAAAGCTTCGTCGAAATTTTTCTTTCAGTATATAAATCAAAAATTGAAATCAAACTGTCATCTGTCTGCCATTTCCGACTACAATGGGAATATGTATACTACGAACATGGATAAATCGCAAGCCTTAGCTCACCATTTCGCTGATGTGTTCTCTCATGAAGATCAAATTGTAACTTCGGAATTCTTTACAGTTACCCCCACTGGTTATCACTGCTTTTCTACTAGTCACTTCAGTCCCTCCGAAGTAGAAATCCTTCGGAGGATTATGATCAGACTGGGAGCTTCTTCTACTAAAACGTACGATGAAATTCCACAAATTGTTTTCAAAAAAAATGCGCTTCATCTTTATGTACTTCTCTCGCTCATATTTTTAACATATTAATGATGTGGAAGTACCATAGGTCTGGGGAGGCGTCGGTAACCGCGATTTCTAAAGTTTCTAACGCTAAACTCCTTTCGACCTTTCGGCCGCTTGGTATCTACTACCGCAGAAGTAATGAAGAAAGTAGTGCGTGATAAACTTTCGAACTGGTATGCAAAATTCAATGTCATTTCGGCGGAATCCTCTACAATGATGAATCTCGCCTACTCCGTTTTTAATTAGAATTTGGCACTCAACAGAGGCCCTCGACATTTACGTGGATTTGTCTAAGGCATTCGACAAAGTGAACCATAAGAATCTTTTGTGAGAATTAGAGAATCTTAGTTTGAGCGAAAATCTCTTGAAATGGCTGAAATCTTTTGAACAACAGAGGGGTGTGTGTAGGGTAGCAGCTTTCGAAGAGATTTAACTGTACAAGCGGTGTCCCACACAAGGCGCAGTGCTTTCACTTGCTTTTTCTGTTGTACACTGCCGTGCTTCCAGGCATTTTGAAACGTTAACGAATATTATAGTTCAAATGTATCCAGATAATGTGGTAGGCATTCCTATCAACTTGCAGAAGCGTTTTGTCGTGCATTTTGAAGATCTCGAAATTCCAATCTATGAGATAAGGAAGCAAACCGAGAAGCTGCTCTACTGCCAAAAATTTGAGCGTTTCAATCAATTGTTTCAATTCCGATATGAATTTTTTGTTTATTGATAATGTTGTAAATAAAACTTCCTCGGTTTTATTTGCGATTCTTCGTAGCGCTCATACCGATGAAGCGATGATCCTCAAACGTCTCTACCGAGCTTACGTTTTGCCACCTTTGAAATATTGCTCTGTAATATGGAATCCTTTCTAAAAAATATACTGAAGCAGGAAAAAGTCCAACAAACCTTCACTCGTATTTTATACTAGTGGACCAGTAATCTAAAGGTGCTATTTGGGAGAGCTTCGCTTCGGAACCCGCCGCAGTCTCCCGCTATTGGAAGATTTTTGAATTGAGTTAACGATTCTTTATATATTAGACTAGTGAACCAGTAATTAAACGGCTAGATTGCATCCGCGCTTCTGGATCGCACCGTGGTTTCCCGCTTTATGCAGATTTTTCAGTGGGCGTTATTCTTATATATTAGATTAGATTTCAAATGAGATTTCCCTCCCGTCCCAAATCGCATGGCGACTGAAATCGCGAGAAGTATGCCCAGGGCCTCAGGCGGCTTCCCTTGCCAGCGACGACAAGCTTGGGAGCATTCTGTACGTCCTCCGATGACTATCGGAGCGCACTATAGTTATAGGGCTTTGCGTGATCGTGAAGGTCGGTGATTTGCGGCCACTGCTCGCGATTCTCCTTGCAAGGGAAGGATTCCATGTGGCCGTGGCGGTTTGGAACGAGATGAATATCATTAGAAGTCAGCGACATTCCGAAATTTCGCGGATTTACGCGAATTACGCAAACTGCGCAACGCCATAACTTCTTTCGGACTGGATATGTTTCCCGAACAAAGCGTTGCGCTCAGCTTTTGAAGGTCAATCTTCTGATGTACATGGTCTATATATGGTCTATGGTCTATGGTCGTTGATATCCCGTTTCTAGTTTTCTCGGATTTCTCTGTGGACGTCTTTTCGCAAGGATGTTACGCAGCGTGCATCACACATAAAAAAAAACTCCAGGCACCATTGACAGTGCTGTTTCCGTAGATTATCAAGCGCTAGAAAGTAGCCGCAGGCTTTTTTTTTTTTTGAAAGAGATAAAGGAGCTAGTGAATTCTGGAAAAATCATGTCGTTCCAAACTTACCATAACCTTAAAACATAAATCTTTCCTGCTAAGCAGATCTGATCTTCGTATACAAACCCATATAATCACTACGGGCAATTTTCCCACGAAGTTCGGGTTTCTACCATATCCACTACAGTGGGATCCCCTGGGCGAAGTGAACATAAATTTGCAAATAGCATGCTATACAACAACTCAAAAAGGGATTTGAGAAGTATGCGATCTTTGCATTATAGACAATATTCATGAGGATGTGATTGCGCAAGCTCGTAGCTCGGCAATTCTTGTCGATTGGAGCTTGACAATGCATCCTTCAACAGCACGGTTTCTAGTGACTTCAACTTGTTAAGGCAAGCAGGTAAATTTTGTTACAGATACGAGAAAAGTGCTGGGGATTTACGATCTTTCTGACTGACTACAGCTCCCTCATCATTACTCTCTTAGAGGACCCTGTAATCCGCAACTACGATTTTCGCAAACAGCGTGTTCGAAAATGAGCGAAGTTTTATGAGCAAAGTCTGCTTGCAATATAAGACCACCAATATTTTAACCAAAATCGCGAGCTTTGAAGCGTCTAACGAGAAAAATCATATAACTCGAAGTTTTGAAAACTTCTTGTAGAAGTTTTTTGACCTGTCGTTCACTATAATCACATCTGGTTAGCATGAGAGCATTCAGAATACGGTGAGTAGAGAGAAGACATGATTTTTTCAGAAGTCACCACTCTTCTATCTCTTTTAAAAAGAAGTTTGCGCCTACTTTCTAGCGTTCGATAATCCACGGAAATAGCACTGTCGAATAATGCTTACTAAAATCTTTTATGGGCGCTGTGTTACGTCTTTGCGAAAAGAGTCCGCAGAGAACTTGAGAAAACTGGAAAAGGAATCAGAGGACATGCTGTACAACAGAAAATTCGTCATGATGAGCTGATCACAGTGCTTCTTTCGGATTTGAAAATATTCGTTCGAAAAAGGTTATGGCGCTGCGTAATTTGCGTGATTCGCGCGATTTCGCCAAATTCGCGGAAGGTTGCGGAATTCCCGGAATGTCGCGCACATCCGCGAAATTGTATTCCGCGACATTCACGGAGATTTTGCATGTTCTGTGAGCGGTATTGCATTTGCTTCTCGCTTTGAGAACATTACAGAATGAGTGACAAATTCATCCTATTGAGCTCTTGGACTGTCTAAATATAATTCAAAATCATGTGCACGTATTTTTTTTACGTGAATAATTGCAAACTTTGAGTTTGGAAAACAAATCCCTCATATGGGATATCACCACAAAAATAGAAGCACTATCTCGTAATCTGTTAGAAAAAGCTTCTTTGTCGTAAATGCACATGGAGTTGTTTGAACTTTTTTGCACGTTAACAACTCATTGTACGGTAGTGAAAGAACGTACTTTCAACTGAGTCGTAATCTGGCGTTGCAGAGTTGACATTCGCAGGAGAAATCAATACAAAACAAAATGAGATCAGTAACGTGGGCAACTAAAAGAGTTTCATAAAGCTAGTAGTTAGTAGAAAATGAAAAGTGCACATACCATGATTGTGAACTTCGCCTGCTTACACAAAATGAACAATTGGCTCACGAATTTGTCGCATTAGCACTGAGAAGAGTGATAAAAATCTTGCCCGAGAGAAGAAAGTAATGTTAGATCTGTTGGCGAATCAATGAGAACTGGTCGCCTGACATTGAACCCTATAACGAGAAATTAGAAAAAGCGCAGCACAGGCATGTAGACTTGGGAAAACAGCAGTTATACAACGTGCGTGAACTATGAACAGCCGCTGTCGCTATCACTGAATGCAGATTTCCTGCCGATGGTAGGAGGTCAAGGTGTTCGACGAACTCGCTCGTTCCAAATACTTTGATACTGTTTTGTGTTGGCAGAACCAGTTTGCGTTCAAAAGAGGAATTCATCTAAGTTTGTTCTCATCAATTTGACTCGTTCGGTATTATCTGCCCCACTGCAAAAATTCGTTGCAATCCTCGTCGCTGCTCCTCAAATTCTCATTCTATTCCTGCACCTGTCGACATCTGATTCATCACCAACCACCTATTCTTTGTTTGTTATCGTTTTTATAGTGTGATAACCAAACAAATCTGTTTTTGCAACGTTTGATGCCTATTCGGCGATCATTAATACTACAGGAAGACGATGAGTAACAGTTATAATGAAGAACCGAAAAACGAAAATGGAAAGTCTCCAAGTAATGAACGAGGTCGTTGTCTTAGCAGAATTCGGTTAACAAACCCGTAAGAAATAGATGAGAAAACTTTGATCTCAGAAATTGTTCACTTTAGGGAAATCGATAAATGAGATTATGAACATTGAAGCTTAAGCGTAATCTCATACACGGTGAAGTATGTGTGAGCTGCATAACAAATCTTCAGTTCGTTTTCACTCGCACGTGTACAACGCAAGTTCAATCCTTGCAGGTTTTCTTTTAAGGCAACAAAGCCTTCCTCACCTCAAAGTCTGCGCGCAATTTCTACACAAGGAGACCACAACTCCCTTGTTGCATTGTATATCATTTTGAATATGTCAAGAGCGTAGCTAATTAAATGGGCCTATTTTGAGCGTTGACCATACCATAAGTCATCAAAAAAGCCACCGAACTCCACCGTAGGTCACCTGAATGCGCGTCGCATCGGCATATCTTGGTTCAGATGGAGAATTCTAAATCCGAGGGCACTATTCGACACTCGGCGAGCGGCCCTTCTGACATGTAGAAGTATGCATTTAGATGCAGTATCTTCTTAGATTTTTGCTTGCGGTCACTCAGTGTGTTTATTCATTGCACACTGACGATGAGTAACCTATCGTAAGCAAAAAAAGACCTCTCACTCATTACCGTGTCCAAACGGCACCTCTATATATCAGAAGGTGCGCCTCGCCAAGCTGAGTCGAGCAGGTCGATTTAGAATCCGTCTCCTGTAAACCAGGATATGGCGATGCGACACAGGTTTCGGTGGAGTCCGTCAAAGTTCGGTGACTTTTTTGACGAATTATGAGCGGAATTTATCATTGTACTAGATTTAGAATGCCGAATTTCACTGACTTACTTTTGAATTTTGGACACTCAATCATATGATAGATTTTTGTAACTGTGTACTCGCTTGCTTTCTCAGTAATCTGTGAGGAGTCAAGTGTCTGTGCACTGATGGCTCCCACGTAGGCTAGATATTATCTGCATGTACAGATATGGAGTTGAAATCCTGCATTAGAAGTTTTTGAAAGTCCATTTAAAAATGCTTAAGAAGCGTTCAATGTATAAAAAAAACTCCGTTCATGGCATACATTTATATATTCTAGAAATTATGTTTCAAAAGTTACAACTTTTCGTTGAGACATCCAATCAGTACAAGTCAATCTCGGCTAAAAGTAGTTGGACACAATGTAAAAGTAAAGCTAGGAGTTGCCAGATTTTCTAGCATATTTAGCACAAGACGTTCAAAAAATAAAAATTCCGTTATCGCCTTTTGTTGTATTAGGCTGTCTCATGATTTTTTACCGTTTTTACCCTGAACATTAGCATTTCTCGAGAACTGAGGCACTCAGAAAGGATACAAATACATAATTGTACTTCTGTATGTATGGGCAATATGACCACATGCGTGAGAGGAGCTCAGAACGTTTAGGGGCAGAGTTTGCCATTTTGCCTCTCTCATTTTTTTCTTTATTTCTAGCCATGAAAATAATTCGGAAAGTGTGCATTCGAATGTGCGATGTATCAAGCATAAGCTAGAAATGAGGATTCTTTAAGATTTTTTGGGGCCGAGAAATGAATTTTTACAGAAAAGTTCGTTTTCAACTGCTATCAGATTCTAGCTCAAAACTCCACGTGTGATATGAGTTGGGCAAACTTTTAATAGCCATCTTGTAGAGCTTACTTTGCCCTGTCGAATAATTACTCAAGCCACATTAGATGAAGAGACGATGCAAAAACACGGCAGTTATAGTAAAAACGGTAAAAAATTATGAGACAACTTAATATATATGACAGTAACGACTTATTGCTTCCAGCATTTTCAAAAAGCGCATGTACCCTCTTTTCTTTCCCTAGTCTATATCAAATCGGACGGATATTGAATCCGGAACATCCGTTTTTTTTTCAGAATATTTTGATGCAAGACTTTTGTCAACTTGATGAAAGGGAATGCACACGTATACACAAACTTACGACTAGAGCTAATGCGGGAATCTCAAATCATTGCTCAGAATAGTAAATACATGGAGGCTCAGACCATTCCAGTTTGGACTTGAGTATTGAAATAAAGATTGGTCCTAATAATCCGAATGATATTCCAGCTTGCATGCTAACGAGGAAATGGCAGACTTAACCGAGCCATTCCAAACAAGCTGTATATCATCAGACTCGTCTCGGTACGCTGATTCCAGATATATGTTTTTATCAGGCTATCTGGGAAAAGTTATGGGCAGGGCTCAGCACAGCTGGCACCGGGTCAAGCTGGATATCGTTTTTAGGGCGGAAAGCAAAGGGGATATCGTTCCTACAGGGGCCGAGGCAGAACTGCCGCAAAAATGCCGCCGGCATGCCACCGACATGCCATTGGCAAGCTGTCCATCAACAAACAAAGGCGTTGTTTTCAGCGAAAATGCAATAGTATGACACCAAATTTGGTGTGTGCATGCGCATTGGTGGACCGGAACTACGGGCCAAAATTTCATGAAAACTTATGTGAATGAAAGCTGTGCCGAACTTTTTTTCTGAAATAGCTGGCACCGTGCCAGCTGGGTGCCAGCTGAGCTGGCATCGACACTTTGCTCACATAAGTTTTCATACTTTTTTACATAAAATGTATCTACACTGTAAAAGATTACATACGGAGAAGAAACAGTTTCATAATGTTCTCTTTTCAGCGTTTTATAGCAATTTGAAAACCACTCGGTCCGCTCCGCAGTAGAAAAATCGGCTTTTTCTGCTTCTCAAGATGTGATTCGACCACTTAAAAAGCTCAGAAAGCTGTGAAAAGTTCTTTTATGAAATCAGAAATGCATGAAAACACTACTACATTTTTTACATAATATAAGAATGATGATGGGTTTTCAAAACAGGTCAAAAGGGACTTCGTACGAAATTTTCAATACCAAACGGGACTTCGTTTTGAAATTTCCCTGGTGCCAGCTCGTGCCGAGCCCTGGTTATGGGCATTTTAATATGAGAAATTTTTCGTGTTTCGACTACTATATTTCCTTGAAAGGCAGCCTGATGGCGCGGATTTACAGTGGCTATGGTTATGTTAATTACAAGGAAGGAGCACATTCACCAAAAGCCCAACTAAGTGTTTTCGAAACGTATTTCGTGGAACATGCCCTACGGAACACTTGACAAATCGCACATTTAAACACTCATAACTCCCCCTAGATAGCCGCTTGGCAGACAATAAACATATATTTGTGATCAGCGTTTCAAGACGAGTCCGATGATATTTAGCATGATGGCTGGGTTGAGTTCTGACCATTTCCTGCTAAGTCTGTATTCAAATAATCAAATTGTATAGTCAGCAAGAGTAAACAACTTCAGATCTGAAATTTAATATTTCTTGAAAACTTTTGACAACTAGCTTTAAACCTTGAAAAACTATTTGCCGGTTGTGCTGTGCATATGCGTGAGTACCTAAATGGAAAAGCAGAAGCGAAGATCCATTTTTGTCGAAAGCATAGGCTATGTAGAATCTAGTTGCTTGCACCTTGTCTCAAACATCACTGCGGATAGTACTCAAAACCTAAGCGCTATAAGCTTGAGAGCGAGCGCATTCTCCTTCGCACATAATCAATAACACTTTTGGAGTACAGTTTTTACCTAAAATATATACTACATGTAGAATACAACAGCACAGAAGTGAAGAAAAACGGTATTCTCCGTCATGGTCTTTTTGGCTGTTTTTGAAGGTCATTGGTGACGTAAACATAGCCGTTTATGTAACCGCTTCAGTCAATCTTCAATCAATCTTCAGTCATCAAGGCAGCAACATGTCAATATTTTTCTATTTTTAGCATGTGACAGTTGACACTTCCTTGAGATTTTCATCGTATTTGACATGAAGAAATAGACGTAATTCATGTCCGGAAAAAAGGGTCCAGATAACGGCGATGTACCGAAAAAACGCTCGAACAAGGATTATCATTCGTAGTCCTCTAAACTGGCGTTAAATGCAAATCGCGATTAATTAGCTTTTACACAGCCTACGAACAGCGTACGAATCTCTGCTTCAAAGTTTATGGGGATCGTTGAGGAGATTTTTGTACTATTAAATAATCCTAAGCTAGAGCAAAGGTAGGCCAGTGTTTGGTGCTCTGCGTTATATTACCATGCTGAAGGTCATGGGTTCGAGTCCATCCTGAGCCTACTTCTGCCGGAAGAATTCTGCATTCTGCTCAAATTTCCAGCGTCAGGCTGCCCTTACAAAGAAAGGCATGCGACAAGCCAGCTAAGAAACACCCCGTCGCATCAGTAGTACAGACATGTCCTATATAGTTACTCGAATAAAGGCTACGGCGTCCCTTGAAGCGAAGCGCACTCGAGTCCGATGAAAGCGAATAGTGGGCGAGGGTTACCGTCTCAGCAAGGTGAATAGGGACGGCTAAAGCGGCCAGTTTACCAGAGATTCAAGGCATCGCAGACTCTCCGTCTAGCTACCATCAATGTGCACCTAACTTCCGTTTTCAGAGTTTTT